GCCCCCTTGTTAAAGGGGGCTTCCAGATTCCTTCCGATAAGCCCCCTGTCCGCAGACTCCCACAACCACCGGCCAGGGTTGTGGGGAAGAGACCCTTGTCCCCATCAACATGGGGACAAGGTGCTTTGGGGGGGGGAGAGCCCCCCTGCCCCAAAGCACCCCCCATGTTTAGGGCATGTGGCCTGGTATGGTTCAGGAGGGGGGGCGCTTGCTCGCCCCCCCTTCCTGATCTGCCGGACTGCATGCTTGGATGAGGGTCTGGTATGGATTTGGGGGGAACACACACCATTTTTTTTTATTTTGGGGTGGGGCTTCCCCTCAAGATCTATATCAGACCCAAAGGGCTTGGTATGAATGGGAGGGGGAACCCCACGCCTTTTTTTATTTATTATGGTGCTGGTTTTTAAATGTAATTCTGGCTTTTTTTTCTTCACTACAGCTCAGAAATTCAGTTGTCACTTTCCCCCCGCTAAAAGAAAATGTTTTCTTTGAGTTTATTTGTCTAAAGGAAACAATGTTTACTTTTAGTTTATTAAAAGATACAAAGTTTCCTGTAACTCCGGTGAAAGTGATAGCTAAGCTTGTGAACTATAGTGAAGAAAAAAAAAGGCTGGTATTTGCATTTAAAAATAAACACCGACATACACTTCATATTGCGAAAAAAAAATTATAACAAATTTGTAAACTGAGGCATTATTTTCATTGGATTTTCATTCATAAACCGAAAATTACGTTAACCGAGACGTTGGTAAACCGAAGTACGCTTGTATTAGTATTGCAATCCTTTGTATTGGGATACATAGAGCCAACATACATCTGAATTGGCAACATAGCTCATTTGTGTCACATTTGAGATATCTGGCTAGTTACACTGACCTTGTCCAGGGACTTAGGGTTGATTCACACCACAGAAATACAGGCTGGATTAGTGTCACAGCTCCGTGGATAAGTGGTTAGCACTATTGCCTCACAGCACTAGGGTCATAGGTTTGAATCCCAACGATGCCAATGTTGCATGTTCTTCCTGGGTGGCTGCCCTAAAATAGATGTGCTAGCAGCATCTTTGCTTTCTATTTAAATGATCACTAGAATGTGAATAAGAATGAGGCCTTGTCTGTTCAAACACCTTCAAAGCTGCACCTTATGTGAATGTCAAATGATGGGGTGAGATAAGGGCCTGGACTAATGATTGATTTGATAATGCTGATTTGCACTTCGTCCCCTTTGGGAAGGGTTTGTCAAGCGAAGAGCTGAGAGAGAGAGAGAGAAAAGGATTTAAAAAAATAAAATAAATAATGGCATGGAGTTCCCCCCCAAATCCATAACAGACCCTTATCTGAGCATGCAGATGCTGCAAGCCTTCAAATATTTATTTCCTTTGTTGAATTGCCTGCTTGGTTCACACTAGATGGAATTTAAAATTGCGCTTTTTGTTGGCAATTTCACCGTGTTTTCTGTAGATTTACCAAAAAGTTACTGCGTTTTCAATTGTGTTTTGCATTGCGATTTCTATTGTAGTCTATATGTGAAATCGCTACAAAATGCAGAAAAAGTTAGACAAGAACTACTTTTGAAATTGTGCTGCAGCAATTGCATATGTTAAGACATTCACATACATTAGATCCGATATCAGGTACGATTTCAATTCCCAAATCGCACCTGAAGTCGCTCACCTTGGATGCAACTTGGCATGCGATTTGCATGTCCTGCAACTTGCAAATTGCATGCCAAATTGCACCTGATGTGACTGGGGGCTAACACCACAGTCTCATCTAATCCGATTTGGAAATCGGACAACTTACAGTGAAGTCGCACGATTTCAAAATCAGATTGGATATGAACAGAGCCTATAGTGGACAATAGGGTGCGACTTGGCCCACAATTTGCAAGTCGTCTGTCATGCAAATCGCTTGCAAATCACACCCAATGTGACTGGGGGCCACCCCGGTCTCATCAATGCGGATTTTGAAGTGGTGCGACTTACACTACGGTCACATCATGCGACTTATAATGAAGTCGCATGATTTCAAAGTCGGGGGGACATGCTGATTTAAAGTGTGATTTGCAAGACATCTGACACAGATCTCTGCAAATCGCATGAAAAGTAGTGTATTTATTACTTTATAAATCGTTGCGCGCTCCTACCAAGTTTGAACCACACCAATATGAACGCTCTAATAGCGGTCACATTGAGTGCGACTTGGCATGTGACTTGCAAATCGTATGCCAAGTCGTATCCTATTGTCCGCTATTAGAGTGTTCACATGGGTGCGTTTCCGACACTGATTTCTAAAGTAGTACATGTACTACTTTTGTGGCGATTTGCATAGATATCTGTGTCAGATGTCTTGCAAATCAATAGGACAACGGCAAGTTCACTGTAAGTCGCACGATTTATAAATCGGCTTTGATGTGACCGGGCTGTAAGATCTTTTTATGTTTGCTTTCCAGAGTGTTTTTCCGATTTATGGGAAATCCCGCATACTAGCAAATGTGAATTGACATTTTCAGTATTGCATGCGAGATGTGGTCATGTGACTGCCTTAACTCATGCGATAATCTCGAGTGAGTTGTGCCCATAGTGCCAATAAATGTTGCCATGGGGTTCCCCTTCACATTCCTGTTCAATTTTCTGTTGTATGCTGCACAGGTACACTTCACTGTGGATTTCTGACTCTGATTTGTGGGGCCTGTATACCAAGGGTTAACGCAGGTGAGAAGAGGATTGGTGCTGAATAATCAGCTGCAAACACTTTCTCTGACCAAATGAATGACAGTGGTGGGTGTGGCCTTCATTGGGGCCTTGTTTGGTGTGATCCAATTGCAATCTATGTTATATAAAGACCTGCAGTAGTGGGTGATTTCCTGTTACTAGGCCAGGTTATTTTCAGCAAGTCTGTGCTTGTGGTGGATTGGGGAGGAAGCGATATTGTGCCGTTAAATGCCCCCAGACCCCACTCAGGCTGTGTTTTGATGTGGGCTGTAAACAAGGGCAGACTGACAACTCATGGGGCCCCCGGGCAATAGGGGATCATGCGGCCCCTGTGTCCTTGCCCAAACTCAAAATAGCCTATGAAAAAGATACCAGGGGCATCTCATGGGGCCCCTACTGACCCCGGGCCCTCGGGCAGTGCCCGAGTTTCCAAATGGTCAGTCCGCCCCTGGCTGTAAATGTTTTGCATTTTTTTCCTTCTAAAGTGTGTTTGTGTATTATTGTACAATGATTGTGTATTATCTTTGCATTGTAATCCTAACATATGTCAATTGCTCTGCTCTTCCAAATCTGCACTTGGCTATAGTTTGCTTATTTAAACAGAACTGCAGTTTTAGGACAAACCTGATGAGAAATGTATGTGTAGGGGAGGTGGGAGGCGTTTGGCATTTTGGCACTGTCTTATGTATTTTTATATTGATATTTTGATCTGCAGCCTGTTTTGTGGATAGATAATCCTAAGTGATGGTGTGTGTTAATTTTATGGCCCTGAAAATGTTGCTTGATTCATATTAACCGTTTGTTTCCTGCTGTAACCTGTGAAAGCACAGTTCATTAGAAGTATAATCTTTAGATTGTAAGCTCTTATGAGCAGGACCGTTCTATTTTAGCAACATCAATCGTGCTTTTCTTTTTTTTTTCCCCACCAAGAAGTTGACTGTACCTACTTGTTGCTGCTGTCCAAATGTGGAATATGTATTTGATCAAAAAATGTTTGGACTATGTATTTTTGGGGGAATTATTTCATGTTCAGTATACTAGCACCCCTAACACTTATATTTTGCTAGCTATATAATATGCCCAAATCTAGCTTGTTAGAGCGCACATATGCAAGTATGTCCAAACTAACAAACCAAAATCCCCCTTTTGCACCGCAAGACCATGTTATGTACCAATGAAGTGTTCAATGAGCAGCTAGTTATTCTTTCTCTACAATCCTCTTAACGGCAATATATTAGGCCCCCAATTTATGTTGACTTTGGTCTTTTACCGGCATACATATATTCACCAATACCAAATACACAATAGAACTGCAAACATATATTCACCAATGCCAAATACACAATAGAACTGCAAACATACAGTATATTTGCGAATGTCATATACACAATAGAGCTGCGTGGAAAATTGCTATGGTGCACAAATAAACGCCAAGACGGCTGTTGGAGGAAGCGCTAGAGCAGCTGTCATACCGGAAATACGTCATCACGTTTGTGGAAAGACGTTTGCACGCACCCGGAAGTGGTAGTGGGGAGTGTTAGTGGATGGGAGTGTAGTTAGGAGAGTTTAGTGGTAATTTGCAAATCTATTTTTTGGCTTTGTGAATTGTTCTTTTGTGGAATTCCAGACCACAACTGGACATGGTGAGATCGCTGTTCTCGACCAAGGAGCTGATCCTCATTTGCAGGGGAAACATTACTAATTGTTGTATTTTCATTTGAAAACATGTCAGAGGTTCAAGGTATTCCATAGAAGTTACTGTTATTCCTAACTATACAGGTGGCACAGACACAAGCATACACCCAGGGCCACTGTTAAATATCACGGGACCCCGTACAGCATACCTGACAGCCTCCCACCGCCAGAGAAAATATCCAAATTATATTTATGGTAAAAATACACTAAAAACAATATTAATGGACACAATCCCAACCAAATTCCTGTTAAATCTAAATGATAAAACTGTACTGAGTTAATAAACAAAGCTGTGTATATAATTGAGGTCTTGAGGCTCATTCACATGGGTGCTATGGCCTGTAGAGTGTGAATCAGTGGTTTGTTTTTTGTGGCTGTTGCCGTTTGCAGGCAACCTATGTTACACTATGGAAATGCTGTAGGTCCTAATTTGACAAGCATATGGGTGCAGATGTACAACCCTGTACATGTACATGTGAATGCAGGGGCGGACTGACAACTCATAGGGCCCCCGGGCAATAGGGGATCATGGGGCCCCTGTGTCCTTGCTTAAACTCAAAAAAGCCTATGAAAAAGGTACCAGGGGCATCTCATGGGGCCCCCTACTGACCCCGGGCCCTCGGGCAGTGCCCGAGTTTCCAAATGGTCAGTCCGCCCCTGTGTGAATGTACAGTGAGCATTCAGGGCCACTTAACCATGCCTGCACACCTGTCAGATTAAAACCTGTGGTCATACAACTGCTATGTCCCCATAGTGTAACAGGTGGCTCCAGCCATATGAACAACCCACTTATTCATGCTGTACAGGACAGAGGACCTGTGTGAATGTGGCATTTTTACTTTTTTTTTCCTCAGTTCATTAATTTCAATGGGCTGCCTAATGTGTGGGAACATGCAAAAATACCGCAGGCATATTATTTTAAAAGTGTGTTGCACCTAACCGCACAGTAGCGTGGTGCCATGCGTTTTGGTGGCTGTAAATGCGTCTGTGTTTACTAGATGTATGTAGGTGCAATTAAGTTTTTATCATGGTACATGCGCACATCTGCAAAGGGCATTGCATTTCTTTTGCTATGCAGGAAAATGCATGCTCTTGCAGTGTTTCTGCACCACAAATGGTGTGAACAAGTCCTAAGGGCCAGTTCACACTATAGAAACACAGTCTAGATGTGTTCCAGATGTGTTTTTGCATGCAGTTTTTTGATGCATGTTTAGCATGTTCCAGTGCTTTTTGTACGCGTTTTTGATGTGTTCCAGTGCATTTTTTTATGCATTCCAGTTAATTTTTTCTCCTCTCTTTTTCTTCAATCTAATTAGGGACATGTGCATTTTAGTGCGTTCCAGGGCGTTTTACCACGTTTTTAGTACAGTTCTATGCATAAACAATGCAGCCTGTTCGACTTTTTTGGCAGCACCTGCAAAGCACTGGAACTGCAAGCGCTGATGCGAACTATGACATTGACAACCATATAACCTTATTTTTTGTGTGTTTTGGATGCAGAAAAAGCAACTGAAATACATGTGGTGTGAACTGGCCCTAAAGTTTATTATAAGTAAGGGAATGGGACTGACCAGGAATTGTGAATTCAATCAGACTAGTGGTGAAATACAATCAGGAATCATACAATAATGCAAGATCTGAGCTGTAGGTGATAGGAAATGAGACACATTAACTTGATCAGTAAATAAATAGTTAAATAAAAAGAGTGGGGCGGTGATACATAGATTTGCAGATGGAACAGGTGATGGGGGGGGGGGGCACGTTGTATAAGGAGAGAGGTTTAAGGGCTTGTTCACACTTGACTTTATACTCTTGCCAAACGACCCTATAGCGATTGACAGGTGTTTGGGAAGCATTTTTAACGCTCCTCAAATGCTCCCCAAATGCCCTATGTGCGGTTTTGAGGCACCACAGACGCCTATAATGAAGTTAAATGGTATTAACGCTCCGTAAACGCCTCACAACTGCACCACAAACACCTGCTTGGAGTTTGAGAAGTGGCACCATAGATTTGAATGGGAGGCTTCAACTCCTCCTGACTTGACATTAGGCGCCAGTTTTACCATGATGCAACGCTAACGCTTGAGTGGGAACAGCACTGTGTGCTGCCATGTGCAAAATTTTCCTAGGCGTTTGAGAAGCGTAAAAAAACGCTTCTCAAACACCTGACGCCTGCTGACAAAACTAGTGTGAATATAGCCTAAGAGAAGAGAAACAAAGTTGCAATGAAATATAAACAGATGGAAAATTTAAAGTTTCAAACTTGTCAGAAGAATAGGACGCAGGCAAGATTCACTCCCAGAGAAAGCATGCAAAGTCCAGACAGGTGCAGCCATGACTGGGATTAGAACCCATAACCCAAGTGCTATAAGTTCTGAGATCTAACCACTAAGCCACTGTAGGAGACAGAGTTTGAACTGGAATGTAGAATAGTTACATGATTAAAGAGAATAACGATATATAATTATATTGGGAAATTAGAACGAGACATTCAAATTATTTGAGATATAAGTGTGAAAATGTTTGACATTTGAAAATAGAATGTATGACATTCAATAGGAAATGCATTAGTTGGCCGATCATTTTTGGAGAAACAGCAATGAAAAAAAAAGATAATATAGGTGTGCATTTTATTTTAAATTATAAGTATTCTCATATGCAAACAGATAAAGGCCAACGGGACAAAGCCCATGGTTGTGCGCCACCTAGTGAACATATCCGGCATTGCATCTAGAAATGTGCCCAACGTCATTACGTATTTACTAACAGGAAAGAGTCTAGAAAGTAGATTCTTTATTAATCAGCTTTCTGGGCGCCTTTCTGAAGACTGACAGGTCCTGATTGATTGAATTGAGTCTTCCTGAATGTCTGCTGGTAGACTCAATTCTTAGTAAATCAGGGCCGCAGAGTCCGCTACATAGGCGCTTCTTCTCAAGAATTTCCGCTTACACTGTAATACGTTCACAAACAATTATATCATTAATATAGAGCTCTCCCCTTCAGCCTAATCTATATCATGGGTATCCTTCTCTTTTTTGCTATCTGACCTCTCCATGGTCAGACATATTCTGACACTACTCTAAGACTTTCAATACCGGTGCCTTGTGTCGGCGGCGTCCTAACACTCACCCACATAGCTGGTTCACCTGAACCGAGCTACACACACCTGGACTGATCCTTCTCCACGGGTAAGACAGCTGGTCTGTCACACCACCGGTTGACAACTTTTCCCCTCTTTATATAGCTCTCGATTACACCCTTTTTTTTTTCCTCTTCCTTTATATTCCCTCTCCTCTATTCTCCTTTTTCTTTATCTTTTTCAAGGGGTCTTTTACGCTGTCCTACAAGTTTACCAATACTCTTATACGCATACTGGTCAGCCCCGGCCCCTCCTCTCCCTCCTGTTTTGGTTGCATCAGTTAACATAGTGTTCGAAAACCCCGGTACTCCTCAACCCATTACATGCCTTCCCCCCCTTACAGACTAGGATGACCACTGTTAACCACCTGCCGCCCGCCATATAGTACATTGACGGGCGCAAGGCAGTCCTCTCGTTCAGGGACGACGTCATATGACGTTGTCCCATTCTAACCGCGCATGTGCGGCTCCGGGAGCACGCAGCGTGGCGATCGGCAGTGCGCTGTGTCCCTTGGACACAGCGGATCACCGATCAACGGAAAGTTGCCGAAGATGTCGGCTCGGTCATGTGATCAGCTGTGTCCAATTACAGCTAAACACATGTAAATAGGGAAATGCCGTTTCTCTCCTCACGAGCTGTCACTCTGACAGCTCGAGAGGAGAGGAGAGCCGGTAATCGGCATCCCTCAGAGGGGACATCTACACTGATCATCAGGGCACTGATGATCAGTGTGCCCTGATGATTTGTGTAGTCCCAGCAGTGCCACCTGTCAGTGTCCATCAGTGCCAGCTCTCAGTGCTCATCCATGCTACCTGCCAGTGCCCATCAGTGCCACATATCAGTGCCTACCAGTGCACATCAATGCCACATATCAGTGCCCATCTGAGCTGCCTTTCAGTGTCACCCATCAGTGCCAGTCAGTGCCACCTCTCAATGCCAGTCAGTGCCACCTATCAGCACTGCCAATCAGTGACACCTATCAGTGCCAGTCAGTGCCGCCTATCCGTGCCAGTCAGTGTGCCACCTATCAGTGCCCGTCAGTGCTGCCTATCAGTGCCGCCTAACAGTGCCAGTGCCGCCTATCAGTGCCAGTCAGTGCCGCCTATCAGTGCCATATATGAGTGCTACCTTTCAGTGCCCATCAGTGTTGCCTGTCAATGTCCATCAGTGCCACCTACCAGTGCCTCCTCATCAGTGCCCATCAGTGCCACCTATCAGTGTCTATCAGTGCAGCCTATTAGTGCCCATCACTGCAGCCTCATTAGCGCACATCAGTGAAGGAGAAAATCACTTATTTACAAAATTTTATAACAAAAACTAAGAAAAAACTTTTTTTTTCAAAATTTTCAGTGGTTTTTGGTTTGTTTAAAAAAAAAAAAAAAAAACCCAGAGGTGATTAAATACCACCAAAATGAAGCTCTGTCTCAAAAAAAATGATAAAAATTTCATATGGGTACAGTGTTGCATGACTGCACAATTGTCATTCAAAATGTGATAGCGCTGAAAGCTGAAAATTGGCCTGGGCAGGAAGGGGGTATAAGTGCCCGGTAGGCAAGTGGTTAAGGTGGTCTCGATTGATGCAAAAGGACTGAACCTTCCAGAGAAATGCTCACAACTTCTGACGCTCATGTCTGGCATGCAGGCTGACGTAATTTTCATACAGGAAACGCACTTCACTCAGACTGCATACCGAAATTATCCAACCAGAAATATACAACAGTATATCATGCCACTAATTCTCAAGTCAAAACTAAGGGAGTGTCAATACTGATATCGAAGCAGTTACCATTGCAGGTTGACGAATCCCTGCCAGATGAGGAAGGCAGATTCATTTTTCTCAAGGGATCCTTGTGGGGAAACCTTTAACCCTGGTGAACATATATAGTCCAAACATGAATCAGGTGGGATTCTTTGGAAAGATCACTCAGGCATGCTGATATTAGGAAGTGATTTTAACCTGGCACTCAACCCCCTCGAGGATACCTCTACAGGTTCTGCTTCGATACCTTTCAAAGTGCTCAAGCGGATAAAGCTTCACATACATAAGCTGTTGCTCCATGATGCCTGGTGCACACTGCACCCCAACACGAAAGACTACACTTTTTTCTCCCCTCCACACAAAAAATACTCTAGAATAGATTACTTTTTTCTGACCCAGAGAGATTTGTCTTTCTTAAAAACAGCGACCATAGAAGCAATGGTCATCTCAGACCATCACCCTATAACCATTATTATTATTATTATACAGTATTTATATCGTGCCAAAGGGTTTGCTCAGCGCTGTACAGTTGCAAGGGGGACAGATCATGAGACCAGTCGGTAACAATACAATACACGAGGGGTTTCGATAACAATGACGATACAGTTTCCTGTACATCTTCAATGTACCAAATCCTGGAGATTGCGTCACTTTTGACGGACTCCGTGCAGGTAACCCAAATCCTGAATTGTATGAAGAACTTCTTTGCTGAAAATGATACACCAGACATCTTCCTCCTAGTACAGTGGGAAACATACAAATGTGTATTATGAGGAACTTTGCTGAGTATAGTGGCGAAGCGCAAGAAGGATTCGCAGGCTGTCATGTTAGCTCTGCTGCTCAAGGTTAAGTCACTAGAAGCAGCTCACAAACGCACTCCAGTCTCGGCAGCCCTAGCAGAATTGCTTGACACATGTACAAAGCTATTGGAGGAATTAGGTCACAAAACCAGGAAGAAATTTGTCCTTTCACAGAAGCTCTTTTATGAACAGGGCAATACAAGTGGCAAATGTCTAGCTAAAGCGATTTGGAATTATAAGGCAATATCTTCCCTGTAAGGAGCGATAGGTACGCTCCTTACAGGGAAACTTGATCTCTACTACCCTGGAGATAGCACACCAATTAAAGACATATTACTCTAACCTATACAATTTACCACCCGCTAACAGACCCGAATACTGACCAGAGATCCAGAATGGAGATTATAGATGACTTTTTGACTAAATATAGTCCAAAACCGATAGATGCAGATGCGGCGTGTAAACGGAACAATCCTCTGATTATGGAAGAATTTATCTCTGCAGTGAAACAATTGAAATCTGGAAAGAGTCCAGGGCCAGATGGCTACTCTGCGGTTTATTATAAAACGTTCTCTGAAACGCTGGTATGTCCCTTTCTGAAAGCCTTTAACTCTCTTGAACACCCATATGTGGATATCTTTCGGAGGCATATATAACGGTCATCCCTAAACCAGGGAAAGATACTGCACTAGTTTCCAACTATCGCCCAATTTCACTACTCAATGTAGATCTCAAATTTTACGCAAAAATTCTAGCGAATCGGCTTCTAACAATCAAACACTCTATCATCGCTAAAGATCAAGTTGGATTCATACTGGGCAGGGAAGCTAGAGACAACACAATTAAGGCAGTAAACATTCATCATTGGCTCACTACCTCTCAACAACAAGGCTTTTTTCTCTTTTTGGATGCGGAGAAGGCATTCGACAGACTAGCCTGGGAATATTTGCAATCGGTTCTCCAGAGGCTGAGTTTAGGAACCCGATTAATAAATTTCGTTATGGCCCTATACGCTAACCCCACAGCAAGAGTACGTGTTAATGGGACTCTGTCGAGCGCCCTCTCCATCCACAATGGGACACGGCAGGGTTGCCCCCTGTCCCCACTGCTCTTAATACTCATGCTAGAACCTTTCCTTATCCGCATTCGACAGACCGACAATATCAAAGGCATTACAATCGCAACAAAACAACACAAATTAGCGGCTTTTGCAGACGACCTCCTGCTCTTCTTATCTGAGCCACATATTACTCTCCCCAACTTACTGCAGGACATTTCCCTCTTCCAATTTTAAAATCAAGTTCGGCAAATCTTATGCTCTGAACGTTACCCTGCCAGCGCCCATGGGTAAGCTTTGTAGAGACAATTTCCCTTTTTCTTGGCAACCGGAGGCCATCACGTACCTTGGTATCTAGTTGCCAAAATGCCTCAACAAATTATTCACCAGAAACTATGTTCTGCTTTTACACACTGTGACGGAAGATCTTAAAAGATGGGACAACCCCATGTTTTCCTGGTTTGGGAGAGTGGCAATTTTGAAAATGAATGTGCTCCCACGCCTTTTGTATATCCTACAGACCATACCAATTGAAATCCCCCAGACTTTCCTAAAAGCCTACAAGAGGATATGCTCACGGTTCCTATGGTGCGGGAAAAACCCACGTATTAGCTATAGCCAACTGACCTGCCACAGCAGTTAGGAGGAATAGGACTCCCCAATCTTACGAAATTCTACTGGGCGTGTGCCATATATCCAGAATAGTAGACTGGCATGTCCATGGTACAATAAAAGATTGGATTAGTCTGGAAGCTTCCTATTCGGATGTACCCTTGCAGGCGATTCCGTGGCTAGCTAGCAAACACCTTCCTTCTGCTATCCAAGCGCACCCTTTGATCAAACCAACCATTCTCACTTTTCACGCAGCATGTAAGCGTACTGAAACCTCCTCGATCCCAGGCCCTATGACCCCTATCAGAATGAATCCAGATTTTCAACCAGGTATGACACCAAGATTTATACCGGACCTCTCATCAAATTCAGTCATCCGGGCCCATCAGTGCTTTCATGCCGGAAAGCTAAGAGATCGAGCGTACTTCACTTCACAACAGCCGGCGATAAAACTCTCCCCGTGGACATACCTCCAGCTTCACCACTTTCTCACAACTGCTCCATACTTGATGTCTATGTCTCGTAGTCTGACACACTCAGAAAAACTTTGCTTGAAAACCGCTACACAACAACATGTCATTTCCACTGTGCATACTCTCCTAGATGCTCATATATCGGCCGATTCGGGGTTAGCGTGTCCAAAATGGTCTACAGACCTACAAACTGAACTTTCTCCTGAGAACTGGGAACACATTTTTCACACAGCACACAAAGGTACGGTGAATGTATCGACCCAGGAGACTAATTACAAACTGTTGTCCAGATGGTACAGAATACCAGATGATTAATTTTGTGTAATCCGACGCTTCCCGACAAATGTTGGCGATGTCAACAAACCCTAGGAACTCTCTTACATATCTGGTGGAAATGCTCAAAAATTCAAACTTTCTGGACGAAAGTTCACACACTGATTCACCAAGTTACCTCTGACTCGCTAGAGCACTTACCTGCTCAATCCCTACTGCACTACTCCTCCTCATCTAGTCGGGCCTATCATAAGTCACTAGCGGTGCAGCTGGTGAATGCAGCAAGGGCCTGTATACCGGTACACTGGGGTTCCCCACTCGTTCCCTCACTAAAAGAATGGTTCAGACGTATAAACAGAACAGAGGATTATGATACACATGCCCCTTTCCACTCCCAAGTGAATCCACTTATACTGCAAAACTCTCCCTCATGGGATTGCGTAGATTGGGAGGGGTGGGGGGAAGCGGTTGGGGCTGACCAGACCCATAAGGTTTCTTCACTCACTATCTTAACTCCCTCATCACCTCTTTTCTGATGAGAGCCACTTCTACCCCTTATATTATTGCTATATCCTTTTTTTTTTTTTTCCCTTTTCCTCTCTCCCCCTTCCTTTTTTTTTTTCCTTTATATATGCCCCCTCTCTTTCCCTATTTTCTCCTCCTCCAGTCTTTTTTTTGGGGGGGAAACTCGTAGACTAGACACAAGTACTGACTGAGGGAAGGCATTGACCACAGCTATAATTAATAATACTCGTGAGCCAAAATGTGATACTCCCCTAGTGCAATAAATAATTTAACAGACAAAAATATATATCAAATTATGGTGCATCAACACTTTACACAATACTCATTATCTGTGCAAATCATACACTAAATAAAAAATTATATATATCTACAAATATATATATACGTGTCGCGCTCCAAAGTATACATATAAACTCATATATTAGTGATTATATAAATAATAACGTGAAAAAATGAATGTGCTTCAAACCAGTGCACCTTGTGATGCTATTGTAAAAATAATACTAATCCAATACTCATAAATAGTCCTCTTTATACTCTTATAACTTTTCAGTGACAAGTAAGGTGATTCGTGCCACACTCCCCGTGCTCTATAGATAGGTGTGCGCTCACCTCCTTAATTAGCCAAAGAGGCTAAAAACACTTTTTGTCCTTATCAGGACAAGGTGGGAATCTTCACACTATATACCTGTTTCCATGCATGCTGTGGATTGCCTTATTTCTGCCACCAGAGGTCTCCCTTATTCCTCCTTCCACACTTTAGCCTCAATGGATGGGTAGAAATGATTTGGATGGTATATCCTCCTCTCAATGAACCATGTAAAAAAGAGCCACAATAGTGCCTTATCCTTTGTGAGGTTCAATCTTTTATTAGTAGAGT